TTCAGAAGAATGGATCAATAGAGGTGTAACCTGAATCCTTTTTGTTAGGAATACAAAGATTCCCCAAAATGAGATTCATATCAGCTGCACTATATCCCTTGCAAAAGAATGCAAGCCAAACCAGTGCCTCTCAGATGCTCAGAAACCAATGCAGTGTGCACATGAGAAACAAGGAGATAGCTGCTTTGAATTACTATTGAAATCCTTAAAGCAGCTACAGTATCTGCAGAATCAAGGAACTGTTACAGTTCTGTTTTTTTCCTTTCTCTCCGCCTCACCTAAAACAAGGCTTCATTCCTACTGCTGTGACGACGGGAAGAAAATCACATTAAAAAGGGCTCGTGTTCTATATTGGGTGGCAAAGTTATTCTAATTTTATATACCAAAACGTTTCCTGCAGCTTTACCCTGCCTTCTGTGAAAGGTAAACCTAAGATAAACACGTGAAGGATCCCATAAGACTCCGGCTGTTGGAGGGTCTCACTTCATCCACATTGGGGAATATCAACTTAAATAGTTCTTACACATTTTAAAGAAAAGTATCATCCACCTGCAGACAGCAGTAAAAAATGAGGGCTTTTCAGCAATGCATGGAAAGTGTCCTGGAAATGGTAATGCTCAAGCCGAGCTTATTAAAGCATTCTGAACAGTATTTTTAAAAAATCAAGTATCAAAGAGGATAGGATTTGAAGTGAAAAAACATTTCTGTGTGCAGTGTTCCACGTACAAACTGCACAGTTCTACAGAATGATGAACTATATCAAATACTACACTGGAACAAAAAAATACAGTGGAAAGTAAACTCAAATGAGGGAAAATATGGCAGAACCCAAGAAGAATAAAGTATAATATCTTAGGTGTCCTGAAAATAACTCTGAAAAAAATCTCCCTTTTCTTCATCATCTACTCTGATTCATTTGGGACCAGGAGGGATCATGGATGGATTCTGCACTGATGAAGCTGGAAATGCCTGTAAATTCATTCCTGGCTGGAACGGTCCCCCAGGTTGGGTAGGAATTACTACAGGCTGTGGTGGTGTTCCTGAAATTCCTACCCACTGTACTGGATACCCTGGCCCCCCGACAGCATTATACTGACAAACATGGGGCATTCCGTATGATGATAATGGCCCAGGAAATGAAGGGAGTGAGAGTCCTTGTGGCAAGGAGGTTGGGACAGCTCCACGGATTTTGGACAGAGAAGAAATCCACGTTGGTGTGTAGCCCATAGTAGATGGAGTACTCTAACAAAAATAAAAACAAAAGATCAGTTTATTTGGTAGATGCTTTTTTACCCATGTATATTCTTTCCTATTCGTTTTGGGTTACGATTCCAATTATTACTATGAGTGGCTACCATTTTTGCAGCACGTATCTGTGAGCTAAGCATAGTTATCCATTAACCATAGTTATCCATACCTTATCCATTTCATCTTCATAACTGCCCTGCAAGGTAGGCATTTTCAGATGAGGAAACAGAAGTTCAAAATTGGTAACACCCAATACACTAAGCAAGTTAATAGTGAGGCAAGGATTTGAACACAGTTCCAGCTAACTCCAAGGCCCTGCTAAATCTCTGTTCACAGTTTAGTGTCTCCTTTCCTCATGCTAGCACTCCTCTTCTATTTTTATGTCCTTCTGCCAGTCCCAGGATTTCTCTCATTCAGCACCGCAGACAATAGCCCATCTTACGACACTACATAATTCTTTAGACAGAGGACCATAATGTAGTGTGGCACAGGGGAAAGAGCCTGGCATATAGTAGGTGCTCAATAGATGCTGTCTCCCTACTCCCTTCTACTCACTATCTTAAATAAAGTCTGACATACATTATATTTTTGGAAATTTCAACTCAAGACAATTATGTTTTGGACAATATTGAGAAAATATATTCCTCCCCAACTCTTCTTATCATATTGTATTATGATTATGTACATGTATAGAGATTACTGAAATCTTATGCACATGGGAATAATAAGTCTAATGGATGTAAATAATACTCACTTAAAGGAGAGCTTCGTATCAGTCCCAAATGCATAGCTCTTCTAAACTGAACAGTCAGGCTAAAACCCTTTCAACTAAACTTTCAACTAAAGTTTTAAACTAAAGTTAGGATAAGGGTTTTTAGCTTGACTAAAGAATGAATGACAATATCTCTTGAGGTGAAAAAAAACTACACTTATTTTAAGTTCAGCAATCCCTTCTTCATATCAGTGTTTTTGTTCTATTAAAGTAAACCAAAATTTCATACTTGATTCAAAACAGCACATATTATGACTGCATTCTTATAAAGTTATTTCCATGTATCCATATACAGAAATAGAACGATACTTAAAATGATGTTTATCTAAATTGAGTGACAATTATTTCTATGTGGTGGGATTTGAAGGTGGTATTTTAAAATTTGTACTTTTCTGCATTGATTAAATTCTATAACAAACAATAACAGTGTTATTTTTACTTTTTAAAAAGACTGAATTGAAGATGACTTATGTTTAATCTTCTTCTGGATATTTTAAAGGCATCTCAGGTTCAAATGACCAAAACCAAATATATGACCTTTCCTTTAGCAAAACACACTGCCTGCTCATGTTCCCCATCTTGGTGATTGGTATGCTGGAGTGATAACCAGTAATACCAGCGATAAACCCAGCCCTGACACCTCCCCTCTGCCATACATCCATTCCATCACTAAATATGGTCCATTTTATCTCTTAAACACTTCTTGGAATCTGTTCAGTTCTCTTTATCTCAGCTTCTCTTTATCTGAACTACTTTGACTAATTCTTAAAATTGGTCTACCAACATCTACCCTTACCCCCAATAATCTTTTCTTTTTGCTTTAAATCAGAAGTGATCTTTCCAAAAAGCAAATCTCATCATGTCAACCTTAGGGCTTCAATGGCTATCCAACATCCTTTAAAATAAAGACAAAGTTCCTTATCATCACCAGCCACTTCCTACCTCCTTAGACTCACTGTGTACTAACTGCTCTCTTCGCTTCAGCCAAACTGGCCTACTTTCAGTCCTTCATGCTCCCTTTCCCCATACAGGGCTTTTGCACATGCTGTCCTTTCTGCTTGGAATCATATTCCCTCTCCTTTTCACCCAGTTAACAACTATTCATGCTTCAGATCTCTGCCCAATCATTGTTTTCTCAGGGACGCTTCCCTTGACTTCTATCTACAAGTTCAAATGTCCCTTACTGTATAAGTACCCTATAGTTCTCCTTTGTAGTCCTTATTAAGGTTGACATTTTTTGTTTATTTATACAAGTGTGTGCATGTCTAACTGTCCCACCAGAGTGTTAAGTTCCATGAGTATAGGGAATAATTGCGTTTGCTCATCAAACCCAGTGCCTAACAGAGGACTTGAAACATAGTAAAGGACCTGGCATATAATTGTGACAAAACGTTTTATGTAAGGCTACAGAACAGTAACATGTAAGAACATTAGATAGTGAGATGGACTCCCCACACAATGATATAAGCAACTGAACCTAAGCAACTTTACAAGTGTTACCTCATTTAACCCTCACAGCAACCCTGCAAGGCAGGTAGGTATCATCCCTGTCTTAAAGACATGGAAATTGAGGCACAAATCACATGTCTAAAGTCACACAACTTGTAAATGACTGAGCTAACACTGGAACCGAAGTCTGTTTAAAGACCTTCACCACCTTCATTCATACTCCATTTTCTACTCACTCTTCCTCCAAGCATCCTCCATTATACTGCAATAAACCATCCTCCTACTAGTCAACACAAACTTCCATTCACACAGAACTCAGAGGATGTCTTATATTTATGCCTTGAAATTTGCCTCTGAAGGATTCCAATTTTTACAGTGGTGATACTAACTGTGTATAAATTGGTGCCAAAGTAAGATAAATATACAGAGCCTCCAAGCAGATAAACTGCTTGTAAGTTAGGGAAATCTAGGCTTTCAAAAATTTTTACTCAACATTAACAGTAAATGTATTGTCAAACTTTCTTTACCAAACTATATGCAATAACTATACACACACACACACACACACACACACACACATTATGTGTACACAGACAAACAGACACACACATACACACAGATATATCTCTTTCAATTATGAGGGTTCATATTCTAAGCCCTGATTCACATTTTAATAGATTTATTCATTTTGAAAAAATGATACTTACAAAAAAGTACAAAGTAAAATAAGGCCCAAATTCCACCATCTAGACTATTGTTAATGGCTTTTCATATTTCTACATATAACACATATATCTAACACATACAGTTCTATATAAATACTACATATACTATTCTATAAAAGCCTGCATTCTCTCCATTCTCTCCATTGTGGACATCTTTCTACATTTCAACTGCATGTATACCTGACTAAGGCCATATGCAATTAACTAGGCATCTTGTCCATAAACTTAAGATACCTCTTATAATATTCTAGTTTAGAAAGCTTTATAATTCTTTTTCATACTGAACAAATAAGATAATTTATTGGCTTTAAGAATACTGACATACAACATAAGAGAGCTTTTTCTGAAACTCTTCTTGCACCATAGGATGGAATTAACTAACCCTCACTCAAGTTTATTTCTTTGACACTTGATGGTTTTCTTTCAGATATGATAGTCTAAAACAAGGGTCAGCAATCGAAGGCCTGCCACCTCTTTTTTAAAGTTGAGTCTTAATGGCACACAGCCATGCCCATTCATTCATGTATCATCTGTCTGCTTTTGCACTACAATGACAGAGTTAAATGGTTGCAACTACATGGCTTGAAAATATTTATTAATTGGCTCCCTCCCAGAAAAAAAGTTTGCTGACCCCCAGTCTAAAAGATAATTTGCTCAAAGACATAATATATCTAGACAAGAATAAAAGTCTGTATATTGTCAAGTCATACCATACTCTCATAGCGACTATAACCATAGGCTGAAGTGAACCAATTTTTATGGTTTTAGTTCTCATAAATAAAGAGGATGGGATATAAACAACTTACATCATATGCTCTGTTCCAGTTGTCTGTCTCTTGTTTGTGTCGACTCTGTTTAAGTTGGTTTAAGCTTGGCTTAATAAGAGAATTTCCTACTGTTTCTTTTGTCCAGTCATCCACCAGTTTGTGTAAGTCATCTGTGAACATCCCTTTTTTACTAGCTGGAGGTTGCTGGCGCGATGCTGCTGCATTACTCTCCACACACTGTGGATCTATAAGAAAAAACAGGGAGAACATGAGAAGGAATTAAAATTGATAAATACTCTTTTTTGGACAACAATGCAGTTGACAGAACTACATATGGAGTACAGATAGAATAACCAGATACTCTAGCTTATTCAGGATCATTCTGGTTTAAAGCCGTTTTCCTGGAGTAATTATTAATAATACCCCTCTCACTCTCACAAATTTCCTCTTGTTTGGATGGCAAATTATATGGTCACCTCGGGTATAAGTCAAATATAATAAATACTATCTCTAAAAAATTAGTATAAACCCTAATCTTTTCATCAGTTTCCTCGGATAGATACTTAGAGAGAAGAGTTTTAAAAAACGATCATGGGGGAACATTTGAGGTCTTGCTCCCCAGCATTATATTGCCAGTTTGGTTCAAATAAACTGTTATAAAAATTCTTTACAGGTTTGGAAATTTCTTATGGAGGCCTTTACTTGGCTTAGTCAGTAGGATTCCAAAGAAGCACACCCAGGATCACGCTGCAAACTCAGACCCAGTGCTAGGTACAAGCAAGGGCCCACTGTGCACCACCAGCTCTCTGCTTCGCATTGGGTATGCTGGGAGGACTCTTCTTTCAGAATGCTCTGGGCCTCCTTGCCTTAAGTAGTAGGCTATGGCTTTATTTGAGCTGCTCTTAGAAAATCCTCGAGGTGGATAAGTGTTGAGATAACCCAGGGAAAGGAAAGAAAAACATGGGTTGCTGCTTCTAATTTTGTCTTTTTAATCAGATTACTTACTGAGAGTCTGAACAAAATCTTTGCTGGTTAAATGAGATACTGAACTCTCTTTAGTTCTGAAAGAGAAAGGATACTTCCTCGACCAGAATAGCCAAAGGAATGATGGTAGTTGTTCAGATACCAGAATCCAGAGTGGCATAGATGGGTGCTGGGAGTCATCCAGTAATCCAGGAGAAGCCAGCAGGAGCCCTGAAGAGAGGGGCAGGGGGCCCTGGAATGGGGGGGGTGGAGGAGGGGGGAGGGAGAGGGAGAGGAACCCATGCCTTGGAAAGCATCACAGTTCCAGTGGTGTCCAGTAATTGCTGGCCCTTGCTGGGGTCTTCTTAGGTGACTAAGAATCTTTGTGGGGTTGTCTGAGGAAAAATTTTCCTCTAGGGAATAAAGCAGTCTTATAGGGATAGCCACAGCATTTGGCTCTACTGGAGACATTCACATAAAGGTTGTTTTTTCCTAGACATTTTTTGAAACTCTATAGATCTCAAAGAAACAACGGTCACAGAATGTTAAAAGTAGAAAGAACCTTAGAAGTCTAATCCAAACCACTTGTTTCATTATGGGGAAATGAAGCCCGAAAAAGTAAATTGATATGTCTGAGTTGTTACTATCAGTTACCACTGTAATTGCACATGAACTTCATTTCTTTAGCATGCATTCAGCTTTAATCCAAGCTAGCTTTGTTTAGCCTGACTCATTTGCATTCTTTCCCCCAGGTCCTCCCACCTGTACATATAGTGTATGCCCACTCCTTTTAATCACTAAGCCCTTAGGGTTTTAGGTTGTGGTCTGCATCAAACTCACTTAAGACTAAAGCTTCAGGTCTATCAACCATGAACAAGATACCATAACCAAGCCTCAAACTAGAATAAGGTTTTAGTCAAAAACAACACCTTGGCTTCAGTTATGTTTCAGCTCTGGACTCATGAAAGCAGAATGGCCCACGGACCGCATCCCCTGGAAACCAGACTGAACAATGTCATGACTGACACCAGGACCTGAAGCCATGATCAATTCCTCCCTGCCTTAGTCCCCACCAGTCAGTAGTGCCCACGACCCCAACTCCCAGAGCTCACCTTGGGGCCAACTCCTTAAATAAACCTTTTCTTTCTTCACTGCAAACTCCGGCCTGTGTCTTTTTTTCTTTTGCTTGGGTGCACACAGGCAAGCAGACCCTTTGAGTCTGCAGTAACACCAGCAGAGCCAGGCCTGGAACTGTGAAGCCTAGACAAGGACTCATTCTCTGTTTAGTATACCACGCTGACTTGCAACAAGCTTCAGAAAAGTAGAATCTCATTTAATTTTTTTAACCGATATTTGTCAATCATAAAAAGAATGTGTATCTATCGATAGCAGAAACAAGGATGCAGATGGTTGGTGAGCTGCATGAGGTCTAGAGCACAAAATGTCCAAATAGAAGAATGTAATCAATTACAGGTGTCTCCATCAGTGAAGTTTCCTAATCTGAACATCACACTAAGTCTTTGGACTATTTAGTACCATTAGAGAAGCTTACTGAATCATTCTCATAGAAAAGATTCATCAAGTTCCAATTACTCTCACTGATTACAAACCAAAACTGCCAGAGTGGATCTAAAATGAATTTTAGGAAATACAGTTGTGAAATTTAAGCACAATGACATGCCAGGGATTTATTTAAATAAGCATGTGAAAGTTTCTTGTACATTTGTTACAGTACATTTTTTAATTGTGAAAAAATACAGAAAATGCAAAAGATACTACAAGAAGCTTCCATATTAACACTTTCCAAGTACTTTTCTTTCTTTGAAACCTAGTAATAGGCCTATGATATATATATATATAGGCTCATCAAGTATCACTCGGTTTTTTAGATGAGAAGACTGGGATCCAGAAGGAAATCAGCTATGGTTATATACTGGGATTAGAACCCAGATAGGTCAGTGTGCTTCCCATTGTACCATGCCAACCCATCCAATAAACTGGAAAATGGGTGAGGAAATTGCTTAATAAGGAGGAACATGATAATCTCAATGATTGCTTATACATAGTCTCTGATTCTCTGGGAATTCTGTACTACTGAAAGCTTAGACTCAAGGATATTACATATTAAATGGAAACATATTAGTAAAAAATGCCTAAGAAAAGAGTTTAATGAAGTAATTGAAACATATTCACATATACAAAAGAGTTTAATAAAAATAATGTTTACTAATTTTGGGCAACCATGATATGCCAAAATGACAGACTAACCTTATTGTAACTCCCTACTTTTCTAAGACTTAAAACCCAAAGATACACAAGTCAGTCTATAATAAAAATATCATTTTTCCAGTTATCTTTCTGCACATTCATCTAATTCTATGCCATCTTCAGTGAGGGAATAAACAGAACAACAATGTTGGAGAAGACTTTGGAGCTGAAGCCTTTATATTGTGTTCTTATCCTGAAAAAAATGTCAGCAGGTAGGTGTAAGAAGGAGAAATAGCCCCAAAACATATACACATTAATGACAACATTTTTTGCCCATCCAGCTTCTCTTAAGGAGTATTTTTGTGCTCATTCCCTTCAGTTTCTAAAAAAGATTGCTGCATAGAGCTAAGTTTGAATGTCATTCATTTAAGAACATTTCTACACTAAGGGAAAACCCAATTGTCAGGATTCTTGTGTACAACTCTGATGGAACAAGTGATCTTAAACACTTAATTGGCAGTCAGTAATGGCTGCTACACTAGTGGCACAATAGCCAACATTGGAGAAGAAATAATTAACAAGCCAAAACAAATATTTAAATTAAATGGGCCGAGGCAAGATTGCTCCTAAGTAGGCAACAGAAAGATCTACCAGACACACATATACCTTCCAAAAGTTATGAAGAACGATGTGTCACATGAGAAGAAAAAAATGCTATCTGAATGTTATTCAGTGCCTAACTATGCTTTACACATGGAGCAAACATTTATTGATTTCATTTAAAAGTTACTCATATATTATAAAAAACCACTGAAAGTTCACAAAACAGAAAATATCCAATCAAAGCATATTTAAAGAAGTACTCTACAAATGTATTTATAATAGCTTGGAACACATTACTTATTAATTTCAAAGGTGCACTTTAACAGTCATTTCTTAATGATGAAATGAATAACACCAGAGTTCAGTCCTTGGTGCTCTTTTTCGTTTTCACCCCCAAGATGATGCCTACATTCAAATAGTTTCCAATGATGCAAGTGTTTCCATCTCTTGTCTCAAATTTTTACCTCTCGTCAATCCATTCTCACAACCAACTCTTAAATGCGTTTTTCCATTGGGATGTCAATGAATCATTCAATTCAATACAACCAGAGTTAAACCTATCATGGTCTTGGCATGACAATTCACCTAAATATCCTATTTCTGTTAAAGATACCACATTTTCTCGAAATCATCCTGACTCAGTTCTTTTGGATCTCGCCACAAACATACATATATCCAGTTCATCACTATATCATGGCGTTTCTTCCTCTACAACATTTCTTGTCTATTTTCATTTCCACAATTCTCTAAGCACTTAATCATCTTACACATGAACTGCTATGATTGCAGTGATCTAAACAGACTCACTCCCTGGCTCATCACATTGCCACCAGATTAACATCAGTTAAATGCTGCTTTCAGCATTTCTCTCGTCTACTCAAAAATAAAAGTTTTCAATAGTTTTAATAGTTTCTTAATATTAACAATAGTGAGTTTTCAACTTGTTTAGGTGGCAAAATACTTGGTAGTCATGGTTGTCTTTGAAGAACACATATATTATCTTATTATCCTTATACAAACATATTATCCCATTTATTAAGCTTAAATATATAATTATGTGTTAGATCAGATACACCATCTTATACCAAACTGGAGCACAAACCATCTGTGGCAGTTGCAAAGTTTTTGGGGTTTTTTTTAAGTATGGAAGAAAAACCTAATGTAAACCCTCCATTTCACCCAACTGTTATATTCTCTTTCTCCCAAATAAATCTTACATTTTAACATTTTATACCTTTATATCATGCATTTCTATTGACAATAATGTTCCCACTCCACTTCATCAATTTTAATCCTGTCCATTTATTCTTCAAGACCAACTCAAATCTTACCTCCTATATGAAGCAGCCTCAGACCACTATTGCCCTGGATGATCTTCCATTGCCTCTTCTCAACCCACTGAAGACAAAATTTCTAGTACTGGGTGGCAACGCAGTATAACCATAAGAGCCAAGGCTTTGGAGGCAGACAG